TACTTGAGATCGAATGCCGTTTGGTCTAATATTAATTGCTCGAAAACGTTTGCTCGATTGTCCATTTAACCCATTGACTTACAAATAAAATTTAACCTATGAATCGTGTGCTCTAAGGTTTGCCACATCGAAGCACGGAAATCTCGAAAGAACATTAGCTCTAACGATCAACTGCCAAAAAATGTGATTTCTCGAAAAATTTAGTTATTTGTCGTGTTTTGTATTTTGAAATACCGACTGCCGGGTCTTTTCTTATTATTCAACAAAGTTAGTTCTGCATATAGATTGCCAAGTTTTGAATAACTACAAATGCGTAAAAGTAATTAAATTAAGTAATTGTTTGTACTATGCAAACAATACATCGATTATTTCAAACATCGATATGTCGTTCATGAACATCGATGTTGAAACCCAAAGCATTGTTAATCGCACACCGTGAGCGATATTTTATGAACGATGTTTTATCACATCGCCATCTTCCGTCCCGTCCGTGATCTACAGTTTTTTTCAAAATATAATATTTGTTTTCTATTAAAAATGAATAATTATTCCCTAAAAATATAAAAAGAAATGTGTAAAAAAAATAGTGTAAAACTTCCTATAATAATATAAGTTTGATTATTATACTCATTTGTTTGATTTCTGTTAAAAATATATGTCACCGTAAAACTGTGATCTCCGTCAGTTTATGATATAACGCGTGAGACTATAAACTAACGGTAAGTTAGGTTAGATTGTAATCTATCGACGTACGACTTTACACTTTAAAAAATATCGATGTTCTAATATCGATGTTTTTGATGAGCGATATGCATTGCTAGTTGTTTGCACCGTACAGACGACATGTGCGTTACTGAGACGTATTGTTGGTAGGTCAATGCCGAGACGGCTCACTCTTTTGTCCTGTTGTTATTGTATCCTAAAGACGAAGTGATAAGACGAATCGGTGCAAATAATATTACGCCAACTATAACTAAAAGCTTGTTGTGTGAGTGCTGAAAGATAAATAAATATCTGCATACTGACAATGAACATTTTCCTTTTCAAAGCCACGGAAACAAAACTACGATGGTTACTATACAAACACCCATCACAACATTCATTTTGTGGTGGAGATCCCTACACTAACTGATAAAAGAGCTGATGAGCATTAAACATAGCTAAGAGCAATCCCGATTAATGGTTTCAAATATAAACCGCTTTTAAATCAGTCCATCGGTTTGGGACTTACGATGCCACTGACAGAGAGATCGACACCTCTAATGACCACTACACACATACAACTTAATTTTTGGACCTATTTTGTTTCTTTGTTTTTTTCGCAAAATTCGTTTTTTATTTTTGTTTTTTTTTTGTTTCTTTATATTCTTTTCACTTTGGGGAGCACAATATTAGTAAATACATATAGCATTTAGCATAGCGTTTACAAAAGTAACAGAAAATAAACGAAAAAATAAAATTGGTGTGGGTAGTGTTCCTTGGAGGTATTGATATACAAAGACAAACGCTTCAAACTTGTAACTCCCCTAATAATAATTACAACCTTAACAATATTTATGTGTGAGGTTATTGACTTACAATATGAAAAAGTACGCAAGCAAGAACGCTTATTCCTTTGTATTATTAACTTATAAAATTAACTTCCCTTTTATGAAAACGTATGTTAAGAATACCAAAAAAGTGACGTAATCATTAAAAAAAAAAAATGTTATAACTGTACTAAAACAAACTAAAATAGAGTCGAGGAACCTCCGTTTCATATTTTGCTGCCTAACTATACTTGCAATAGTCCGTACTGTTTCTTAGTTGAGTTTTGGTAATTAAAACTAATTTTTATTTTATATTTTTTACTTGTTAAGTAGTTTGGTAGCTACGAGGGGACATACACGTATATACCTATTTACTTACTTAAATACTAAATGTGTTATAATAAAACAAAGCATTTAATTTTATTAAAATGTGTATTCAATAAATAATTGATTAACATTAACTCTTATTATCGTACAATAAATAAACAAGCGTAGTGCATTTTTTCATTAAAATTAGTAGCAGTATACATATAACAGGATTCTGATATCATTATGCTCGCATTTAAGCGTTAAATATTATACAAATATAACACATCGTTTTTTACTTATCCGTAACGACGACTTAAAATATATCGAGATTGACATAAAAAACTTACTTATTAATAGGAAACCTTTTCTGACACGTGTAACCCTAAATTAATATATGGTTTTTATTATTGGGATAAATGTGAATTGAATAACTATAGGGCTTCAGTTGAAAATTAAAATTTAGCAGGCTCTCTGTAAAAATTATATGCAAAGTTAGATGTTTCATTCTTAAATCATTCGTGTTAGCCTGTTTTCAGTAAAGTAAATCCTATCAACAAATTAACACAATGTTTAGACAATATCTTTAGGTGTATCGTACATTTTTTGTACGACCGTTTTAATAGCCAATACTTAAAGCATTTGATTTAGCAATAGTAGATTGTACAAAAAAGTGCATAAAACGCGTCATTTTACTCGAGACGGGTGGATACTTAAGCCGTGGGTAAAATCAGCTTATTGAACGTGTTATACACTCTGCTTTTCACTTCGATTGCGAGGAAATTAAACAGCAATATTAAAAAATAAACTATTATTTAATTAAAATTGAATGTAAAATTACAACAATTAGACATATTTCATGTGATGGTTTTTTTATTTTATTTTATGCAGCCTACACCCAGCATAAATACGAACTTAAAGAGCATGAGAAGTGAAAAACAGTTTTTTTCCACTTGTCTTTCGGCGACTCGCCTTAACGATGTAGTTTTTTTTAAACAAATTTATTATTATTGTCAGAACACTAATGTGAACTTTATTAGAAGAGAATAAGATTTAGTCCTTCCTTCAGATGTACAGAACACCGGTACATATACATATTCCTCGATCCATAACTTAAATAAAGTTATTTGACTCAAGGAACAACATTGTAAAAAATGAATGGCTTTGTTTGTATGAATGTTAGTTAGTACGACGTCATCGTGACCTTTATTATGATGAATAATCCATTACGTTAATTTGCAACCGCGTGCTGTCCTTGGAAGAAAGAAAGACACAAGCAACATTTTCAAAATTCGGAGATAAATGAATTTAAAAGCAATCTAGTTTTTCGGATAAAAATATTAAATAGTTTCAATATATTTTTGATATTAAGACTTATTTATGTTGAATAAACTCATACATATGACATATTTCGTACATAAAATTTCGTTGCATCGTAATTAACATTTTTCTAACTTTCACTTAGTAGAAAAAAATCTTTTGTTTTATTAAGTACTGCGTATAAAGGCATATTAACTGGGTAGCTTAAATGTAACTTAAATACTTGACTTAAAAATATAATTAAATGGCATAAATAAAGTCAGTTTTTTTGTATTATTTATGAAGTAAGTATTGTAATTGAACTACATAACAAGGACACGCAGTTCCATACATTATTAAGTACAATCGTTTGATGTATGTATATTAAGTTTTTCTAATTTAATAAACGTCAAATGTTACCTTTTATGGTAAATATCCGATTATTAATGTCAGTTGTGCCTTTCCTTATCCAACAATTAGATAGATTTCTACAAAAAAATATGTAGATAGACCTTTTTTCATGATTCCGAGTATATAAGTCAATTTTGATAAAAATGTTAGTTGTGACTTTTTTCGTTCTAAGGGCAGTTCCGTAATTTCGACATATGTTTTGATTATAGTGATCCTCCCTATCAACCTCTTGGTTATGCGAGAAGGGCACTATATATATTTTTTAGTTTAATATAATAATAACGCACACACTCAACATAGCCCCGCACTAGGGAATCCCTGTGTCGCGGGTGCCATGGACACACACATAGACAACCACAAATTACACCCAAACTCACGAGATAAATAATTGTAGGCCATACAACTATTTCTCCCGGCCCGGGAATCGAACCTGGGACTTCTGCGTGGCAGTCCGGCATGGTAACCGTTCGGCCACAGAGGCAGTTATATACTATAACCTGTGCTTGTACAGGGACCTTCTAAATTCAGGCCCTAACCCCGGATTAGCCTGGGTACATGGTTTTTCATTCCAAGGGCAGTATAAGTGGCTAAGTATTATTTTATTAATGTTTGTCTATCCGACAAAAACACACAATACGAACAATTATGTATGTACGCTCGGATACTCTCTAAAAGTGCACAAATTCTCACTTTTCGATATTGCAAATCTGAACTCTGTAAAATTGATTTATCAGTGTAGATATAACTAAGATTCAATTGTCAATAGGGAACATTTTGCATAGCCTCAAACTCACAGAACAATAAACACAGTAGAAGTGGTTAGTTAGCGTCTGACGCGTGCCAACTATAGGTCTCGAAAAACCTATCAGAGCTCGTCCGCCATTTTCACTTTGTTTGGTATGGTTGTGTCATTCTTTCGTGCAAATTTTCTAAAATACCTTATTGTGATGTTGCCAAAATGATGGCCACACCAAGAACATTACCCGTTTATTTTAAGTTCTCTGTTTATCGACGTAATTTTTTTGTTACAAGAAACGAAAGTAAAGCTTATACCCCTGCAATATGGTCGCTTCTTGTTTGGAGAACTAAATTAATAACTCTAATTCGTCGTCGTTCAGCAACTAACCGCTGATGGACGGAGATGGCAGGACATTGATTGAAATTTCAATATTGTATCAAAACGTCGTAACTTGCAATAATAGGTATTGATGGTATTGAATTTTCAACGATATGCCAAACAAGGTAAAGTTTAAATTATATTAACAATAATCCGGAATTTGTTATTTCTTTTTTTTTGAAACTACGACTAATCAATATCAAATTTTTTTTGTGTTTCAAATTAAGAATGTGTGAGTTTTGGCGACATCGGTTCTGATAAGAATCGAGGCATCATCATCATCATCAGCCTATTGCAGTCCACTGCTGGACATAGGCCTCCCCTAATGCACGCCATTTCGCCCTGTTCTCGATCGAGGCATAAGGTACTTCAATTGTCTTTTTCTTCCGTGCTCAAATTGATAGTGACAGTGATTTTTTACGCTCAGTGTCGTGACGTTGTATTTGTACCTACTACTCAGTGCTAAAGTGCGCCGTGATTGCTTTTTTTATTAATTATTTAAGAATGCCCGAGTCATTGTACGAAGAACTCTTGCACTTAGTTACACCTATAATAGCTAAACAAGATACCTGCATGAGAGAAGCTATGTCATGGACATGCGAGATTTTAACATGTTTGATCGCTAATGGACTTGCGCGGCAGTTTTAAAATTCGCGTACTTAGGGTGACACATGAGTGAAAAGGTCATCGAGCCACAAGTACGCGTATTTACTCGTACGTCTATCACCCACTTAAAGTTCTGGCAGGCCATTCGCTCAATGCGGCTGCGCGTGCAGGCGGCGTCGGCCAATTACTACCCTCGTTTGTTTAACTTATGAGTTAGTGATAGGAAAGATGGTAAATATTGTTCCAGTACATGGATTTAGCGTAATTGGATTCCTTTGGTGCTAGCGTCACTGAATCCACTGCAGTGTATATAGTAAGGAAATTACATCAGCTTTTATGATAAGCAATTCAAAACCTGGACGCAAGTCCGCCGCCTCGGCTATCTGCATGAGATTGCAATTGATCCCCAATCTGCAACACAACGTTTACAGCCGGGTAGGGCTTCGTAGCATTAACTAACGTCGGTGGTATCTTCATGGGGAGTTCCTCAGGGGGTTCTTTTGTTGCCTCTATTCCGAGGACGCCTCCTGCGTAGACAGAAACTCTTGATTGTTCTACTGCACCCGAACCAGTTCCGGCGGTTAGAAGTGATACAGCTCCTTGTGCCAGAGCGCTTGACGATTCTGCTCCAATTATATAGCGGGTACCTGTGGAAAGAAGGTAGATCTTAATTACACCTTTTTTAAATACGAATCTATACGGAACTTTTGTTTGACACACTGCGTAACGCCTTCGTCTGTCTTTTTTGCGAAGGTCAAATATCGTGCCTTGTGACATTATTTTCAGCAGCAAATAACCCCCAGCTTATGTCAATGAGATATTGACAACGGTTCACCTTTTTTTTTATCATATCAAGTGACGGGACGAACGAGGCGTGTGCGTGATGGTAAGCTACATGCCTGTCCTTATCAGTTGCTGTGCCACTCAGAGCTTTAAATCGCAAAGATCTGAGAGGCACTGCCACTGCGCATGTCCCACTGAGACATAAGTCGACAAGTCCCATTTTCCTGTAATTTCACCACTCTGATTTCCACTTTTTGCCTTTTTTTGCTTTTTTATTTCACCCTGTTTATTAAGCATCGAAAAAGTTCTTTAAATAAAACTTACGCTTGTGCAAATTGACGCAATCACACTTCATTAATTCACTTTGGACTGGCTCAGTCATTTAGCAGTTGAGCTGCTTGTGAAAGAGTTTGTCCAGGGAAGTACTGCATGTAGTCTAGGCTCTACTCTATGAGTAGAATCACTGGCTGAATGAGTAGTTTTATAATTAGAATATGTTGGGAAAATGAAGTAAGAGATCGAAGTGTAACCCAACACTATAAGCGTGTAAAAAAGTGCAATAAAGTATATTTTGAAGATTATTCCAGTTTATATTCATAAAAGTACCTCTCGCTACGCATCCCAAGCTACGCCCCAGTTACAGTACTGTCACGTGACTGTCACCTTACCTGTTTCTGCCGTTAAGCGGTAATGTGAGCATTACTGCGTTCCGGTTTTCAAGGGAAAGCGTATTCTAGATTATATATATGTACCTAGATTTATGTAGTCTCGGATTCGAAATTAATACAGAGCGGACGTAGTACGCAAACATTCGAAGGGTGCTTGTGAAATTACAATAAAAAAAGATTTACTTTACTTACATTACTTTTATTAATGAAAAATGGATATAGATAGGGTAAATACGTAAACAAATATATTAATAGCACTTAACTCTTCTGTAATTCTATCATTCTATTGATTTCAATAGCAAAGAGATAGAAATATAGAAGAGATTTCAGTGGTACGAGATTATGATATTTTTTCTTTATTTAGAGATAAATTCATTGTTTGGTAATACATTACAAGTCTAGTATGTTAATCAAATAATTACGAGCTGAACAAATTGTTTATTTAATCAATATTGGTTTACAATTTCAGTAGCAGAAGAGAACCTTATGAAAGAGTTCGTCCTAGGCTTTATTGCCACCTTCCGTATTCTGCCGCCAGCCAGTAATATGAGCATTACTGTGTTTCATTAAATGTGTGTGAAATTACAGGCACATGGGACTTGTCAACTTACGTCTTAGGGTGACGGGCGAGGTGACAGTGTTCCTGAAATCTCTGCGATTTAAAGCTCTGAGTGGCACTGCAATTATTATGGACAGGCGCTCACCAACACTTGCAGTATCATAAATAAAAAAGCTAGCAATCAAGGTCAAAGTTGTTTCATTATAAGGTGAAGTGGCAGTTCTGTCAATCGACTCGTCTATCGATTTAAATGTTGCGTGATGAGTTTAGAATTTCATAATACTAACCACATGTGTGCTCATCGACTATGATTGCCGGAGCGAGGTCTAGCGGAGATGTTGGCTCGTCTTTGAAAAAGCCTTCCGGGACCGTAGATCCCGTGCCGAACGGTTTCGAGAGACCCCTGTGAGCAGTATTTAAATAAATTATAGCTTTTTTATTAAAGTTTTATTGAAATCCTCTAGTTTGCCACGTTTAGAGGTGGAGTATGTTCTTCAAATTTAAATGGGACCACTATTGAGGTACCCGCTTTCCAATAAAAAAAGAATCATCAAAATCAGTCCACAAATGTCGGTCGGAGTTATCGTGTAACATACATACAAAAACCACACTAGAATTGACTACCTCCTCCTTTTTTTGAACGCAAGCACATAGTAAAATTCATGAGGTCCGCTGGTTCGTTCCGTGGCTTAGTTGGTATAGCGTCTGGCATGGTAAGCTAGAAGACGTCGGTTCGAATCTGGTTGGATCGAAGGATTTTTTTCTGAGTGTTCGATCTTTGTATTAATAATAACAATACTATTATTTAAAAAAAAGTAGATTGAGGATATAACTGTTTATAGACAAAATTGCATTTTATTTTAGAATTCGTGCTAAAATAATGCTTGAAATATATTTTATCATAATTATGTAATGCTTCTCTAAAATTAATGTATTTTTTTAAGCCCAATAACCTAATAATTGTTTGTTTACTCTGTCGTTGATAGCATTTCAAGTTACATAATATTGTCTTCATTAGCTGTCAAATTGGGCCTCTTACATTGTGACGACTATAGCGTTGAACACGATTAAGATATTACTTGTTAGTACTTACATGACAAGCGCGATATAAGTGTCGAATCTGTCAACGACAGCTAATCCGGTGGCGACGCCCCCGATTGGTGGCCACTCGTCACGCATCGCTGCTTGTTGAAGAGATATCACAGCCCTGTAATCACAATAAATGTTTAGGCGCTGCGCAGATGGAGCAACTTTGATCATCGAGTTCCGGCAACTGGCAACCCGCAACTAGCTGTTTATGACGTTTTTCATATAATTTCAAGAAACCGCGCTGACGTAGTAACTTCAATTGAGAGTTTCGGCAATGGACTACAGTTTTCGATTGCCGAAATCCGTGATTAAATAAATCTTAATTGCCGTAACTAGAAACTTGCAAATTTGTACCGGTTGTCTCCAGTTGCCAGTTTCCGCAACTGGCAACCATAACTCGTGAAGCAACTTCAATCCCTCTCTGTCCGCCGCAGCATCAGTTCTGACCGTGAATTTGGAAAGTTTATTTAAAATTGCGGCAACTGGCAACTAGGCCTTTTAGTTCCTACAACCGGTAACCGTGAATGGAAACTTGTAAAAAGTTGCCAGTTGTGTCAACTAAAGTTGCTCCATCTGCGGAGCGCCTTAGTCCTCAATGGCAAAGAGTACGTCATGTTTAGCACTTAAGATTTAAACTTAACTCTATGTCAGTTGCATTAACAACAGTCCAAAGTGTACTGTTGTTATTGCAACTTTGTGAAGATGCGACCTCCTCGGTCGTCATCCTACCTTTTCATCACCTATTCTCTGGTTCCTGGTCACTTATTTTAAAATTTCGAATCGTTATTTAGTTCTTTTGCCTCGCCATTCTCACTTTGTTTCGTTCCATCGTCATTCTCTACCAAACTCCCCAACCGAGCAGACGTGCTATCTCTCATCACACTACATTACAAATACAATAGTTTCTTATACACGTTTAAGGATGTAACAGGTCAACATATATCACACAAATTTTTGTGGAAAAGTTTATAATGTCGAACAGTATCATAAATACTTCCTGATACGTCATGAAATGACAAACCTCCACAAGGACACCATAAGGACTCTCGAAGCTACATTACGATCTACAGGACAAGCTTAAGCGATGCCAGCAGTGCGTGACAATCCTTTCAGAGGTGTTCAGTTGTCCTCACTTGCATACAAAACGGAGGAGGTGCAGATTAACAGCGAGGACTGCGTATTCGCATAGTCCTTATGTTACACAGTCCGCGTAGACCGTTTTGATTTTTTTGTTTCACATTATTACAATCATTGCAATTTTGTTTTAAATTTTTGGTATTATTATTCGTTTTTATTTCCTCAGCCTATTGGCGGTTTACAACCTTTTCAATTTAATGTGCTTTTGACTGTAAATGCAGAAAATGTATGTAATAAAATATGTGTGATAATGTATCTGACCACCGTCCGTTAAATATTAAATTATATTACATAATTAAAATGCAAACGAAGACCAATTGTTCTCATACGCACGACACCCAACAGGGGTGTTACTTCTAGTACTACAATCGGTCACTCTTGGAGGAATATTCTGTTAATTTTTTTTTACAATAATACTTAGATGTTTTTTTAAATACTGGAGATGTGTACCCAGTGTACCTAAAGATCAATACCTGCTAAGCTAGTCGAATCTATCAGCTAGTATTATGACGAATCACATTTTTTATATTCTTTATTGCATCAAACATAAAGAAATATTACTTACTTGTACAAAAGGTGAGTAAAGGTGGTTATTTTCTAAAAGAGATCTCACAGATAGTTTCAAATTTACATGTACACTTATGTAGAAACTTAATACCACATAGTATTATATTAGACGAGGAGTGTAAATGACAGAATTTAGTATCAAGACTTACTTCTGGAAACCAGTATTAGGATCAGGTATAGGGGGCTGCAACGCGGAAGCCAAAGCTGCCCCAGCAGCGGCTGCGCCCATGCCGCCAGCATACATCTTCCATGATCCAGCGAACATGCCATGGGGGGAGCTACGAGCTATGTCCTTCTCGCTATCCCAGAATTTGGCTAGTTCTAGGATGGAAAGGTTGCCTTCCTACATCTTTCATATTTTATAAATCTGGGACGTAAAAATACGCTTAGCAAATAAAATGCAAGTAAATTTTTATTGAATTGCTATTCAATTTTTTTTTGTGAAATTATTCCACTAGTTTGTTATAATGATTAATACAAAGATCGAACACTTTTGGAGAAAGGCTTTTGAGATTTTATGAAATGTTTCGCGGTTTTTTTTCACTGACGACTCCACTTACCGCTGCTACTGTTCGCCTGTAATGACTCCAGATATTTGGCGAGGTCGGGAACATTTCTTGGCGTTCCAGGAGCCACAACTTTGCCGTTCTGGGCTTCGATAGCTGCTGATAGACCATCTGATACGTTGAATCCGTTTCTGCAAATTTTCAACTTCGTAAGACCTTTAACATTGAGATGATTAAGCGAATATTAAAAAAATCGAGATTGATTTCCAAATAAGGTTAGATATGCACCAAAGTATCAATATAAATTAAACGTATTTGACGTGGTAAATATTTCCAAAGAACATGTTTATCCTGAGGCTACTTCTCCAGATTTCCTGTCTTTCAACGTCATGAACCCATTTATAAATTCCACTGCTGGTCACGGGTCTCTTCTTAGGCGAGTGTTTAAGGTCATTGTCGGCTACGCTGGATTTCACACGTTTCCCGAGGGTTGTGAACTTTCTTCGACGAGGAAGTTTCATCACGATGTTTTCTTTTCCTTTACCGACAATGGTAAATGTCAAAATTCGCACACGAATTTCGAGAAACTTAGGGTCGTATTCCAGAACTCTACTCAATACTCAAGTCAGGACTTAAGTATTGCAGTGAGCACTGAAAATCATACTCAAGTCCTTGCCATTAGGGTCGTATTTCCAGTGCCTGAAATCATACTCAAGTCTGCTCAAATCCTGACTTGAGCATTGGGTAGAGTTCTGGAATACGACCTTTAGAGGTGCGAGCGCGGATTCGAACCCATGACCTACGCCTGAGAGCCGGTAGGTCAAACTATTGGGCTACCACGTCTTCTCTCGTCTTTACGAAAGCCTAAAGAAACTTACGATAACATCAGACATTTTAGATATTATCTAAGTTTGTAAATTATTAAATTATTTTCTAATATAGCAACGTTCCTCTTCGGTCCTTTTTTAATGACTGGTCATCAAGTTCCATCGTTCCTATACTTTGAGTCACTCACTTACTTACTTCGGTGGCGCAGTGACCCAAAGTGGGTCTTGAACTCCGACACCAGATTCTGCCACTCCAGCAGATGGTCCTGCTCCTTCCAGCCACCAGCACCGTGGTCCTTGAAATCTTTCAGGAGTTCTTCGCTCCAGCGGTTCCTGGGACCTTCGACCGGTAGGTGTCCTTTCGGTTGTCCCAAATAAGCCCTCTTCACGCCACGATCTTCTGCCATTCTCTCCACGAGTCCGAGCCAGCGGAGTCTCGCAGCTTTTGTTTCCCACAATATTGGGCCCGGTCATTAGATGTTCAATCTCAAGGTTCTTCCTCTCACAAACGAGCAAAATTTGAAAGAAGAGGAGCCTTTGTTTTGATCAGTCAACTGGTTTTGGACTGGCCCCGAGCTCGTTTGGCTATTCTGGTTACTTTTGAATATATTCTTCTTTCTGATTCCGTTTGGCAGAGAAACACCGGGAATAGCCACCTTGAGCTTACTTGCCCATACTGAATGATCACATCCTAAATTAGTAGAAATGCCTGGAAAAATTATTAGAAGTCAATCTAAACCTAGTCATTATACCTGGCTATGTCAATCGCCGGTTGAAGAACCCTTGACCAAGGTAGTACGCCATAGTTGGAATGCAACCACGCCAATGCTGCAAGGGCACGTGGCGGAGAAGTATCATTCTTTGCCAAGGGATTTGGACCACCCCATTCTGCTAGCAATGGTGCCTGATTGTGTGATGTCCTGTACTCCCAGTAGAGGAGGGAACCGCTTCTGCAAATTGTATTGGTTAGGTATTATACCAATTTTCCTTTTGCATGGAACTACAGAACACATGAGAGAACTGTTAGTGAAAAGACTGACTGGGTATATTGTTTGGTCTTCTATATGTATAGAAACAATTACAACTTTTCCAAATAGAGAGTCAATGTTTTTGAGCACCTTGAAAAAATCATGAATTTAGTTCAGTAATTTTCAGATAACGCCATCTAGCGAACTAAATAAAATCATGATGAACTTAAATTGCTTAAAGCGAAAACCTCGGTTAACAATTTTCTTCAACAATCCTACAGGGGGCCTGCTATGACCCCTTAGAGCAATCCTATTTATGCCTGTAAGTTGTATTGCCTGTCAAATTCGTACTATGACCTCATAAAAACAATTCACTGTCCACGCAGTTTACGTTCCCCATTCGAAATCCGTTCACCTTTTTTTTCATAGCAAAATCGTGTCATGACGTGCCATTTGCTTTGCAAATGGCGGTCTCATCTGTAAAAATAAGCAATTCAAAAAAATTACTCTGTGACTAACTTTTTTTAGATTTTGTTACATTTTTAAGATATTTCGTTTAAGTTTTATTATATTTTCTGTTTCACAATTATTTGTTATCTTTGTAGGCTATATAGCCAATTGTCAATAAATAAAGACTATTAACTATTGAGCGTTTTTTGAAAATTTTAGTTCGATCTTTCTCCAATCTTTAACGTATTTTTGATAAATTATTGGCATGAATGTTATTGTATGTTTTAAATGGAATTTTAATCATTTTGATAATTTTATTTACCGAAAATATTAAAATAACTTTTAAATAGTGCCAAATTTGACTTAAATGCAATCAATGAAAATGTGTGAATACAAGATACGTTCCAATTATGTTATCAAATAACTCACTTTATTCATTTCAATGATAATGACTAGACATGACACATTGACTTACAATTGACATGTAATTTTGTGGTACGACAAATTGTAAAGTATGAAAAGTTGCCGATATTACAAAAGAACGTAGTAAGTATAATCAATAATAAAAAAATATAATTATTCTCATTTTGAACACAATCTGTTAATAGTGCTTGAACGCTCCCAGTATAGTACATCTGTCTATTTCTTTCATATGATTTAGTATATAGTTCCATCTCGCTTTTGGTAGATGTCACCAGCCAGAGACAATAATTAACGTTTTAAAAATAAAACTCATCATCCAGTCTTGCCATTCCCGTTCAACTTTGTGTAGGTCATGATACGAATTTAAGCAATTCATAGGAAATGAAACTATTTTTCCGGATTTAAATCGCGTATATTTGTTCTTTCAAACAAACCGACGTTTCGGGCCCTTTACAGGTCCCATGGTCACGGTAGACTGAGGTGGTACAGTCTTCAACCAGTTATGTCTAATATTGATGCAAACCACGCTATTTTTTCACTATAGTTACAATAGTTATTAATTGAATACCTTATTTTTAATTTTACAAGAAACATTCCAATTTACGCTACATTAAGTTTTACAAATTATTTTATTGAATGAATTTTATTAAGCTCAATTTATTATTAATTATTAATAGAAATTAGAATAAACTAAAACATATTAATTAGTACTGCAGTCTTATGTCTGTTTGGGATTTTTCATTAGAGAAAATACTGGATCCCAAACTGGTGGTACGGAGAAACCATCTTCCCTGTTGAAATTAGGATATTTTTTAATTTGAATGGCCTATCTTAGCATCCTGGGTAGATAACGGACTTCTTTTGCAAGGACCTGGGGTTTGTCAAACTTCATTGAATGTGTAGGTTTATCCATGACATGCTCGCAGACTGCAGACTTGTTTACGCGACGGTGTTTGACATCAGCTATATGTTCTTTGACGCGGGTACAAATACTTCGCTTTGTTTGTCCAATATAAGAGAGACCGCACTCTGTTACATTTCACGGGTCTCAGGAACTGAGAAATCTTCCTCTGTGGTTTGAAATAGGTTAGGTTAGGAAATTGTTTGAAAAAACAAATATACGCGATTTTAATCCGGAAAAATAGTTTCATTTTCTTCGTTTCACACCAGCCCGTTACACCAAATACCAAGTAAATAATTTCATTTCCTATGTGTAACAATCGTGAAAACCTAAGAACTGGATATTAAGCAATTCAGTTTTACCACGTCAAGTGAATCGCATGGAACTTGGCTGGCCGCTTATAAGCTCATAGTTGGGCCCCTGAATGGTTATTCCATATTTTAAGTTAAAAAGTCTATAATATACTCCTCAAAAATACAGCGTAATGTAATAAATTCGACAAACTGTAAACAACATTATAATTATGAATATCTTCAAAACATTGTGACATAAAAAAAATATTGTAACAACATTAGTTTATGTGAACCTCTCAAGACACGAAAAAAATTATTAATGTAGGTAATTCGGTTGTGTAAGTAAAAACCTGAGAGGAATGATTTTTGTATGGAACTTTTATACACTCTTCAGGGGTTCCCACTTGCAAAAGTCGCTTATATTAATACTCTATACAAAAATAAAATACACAATGTTATTCTCAACAAAATGCTAAAAATGGATATTTTTTTATTTTCGCTGTTGTTTACGTTCATGTTCATTACCATCACAGAAATTTAAATAAATAAGATACTACCATCTTTCAAAGTTCGAATTTATGGTAATAGATTTGCGCACGTTGCGTCTTCTGCGTGTAGGTTTATTATTTCAATATTTAGAAAAATCGTGCAGCTATTCAGATCACATCGAGCTTCTCTTGTAAATTCTAGGTGTAAGTAACAAAAACGATGTAGGTGAGAAAAATGAAAGAAAAATTAAACTGTGTGTGACACATTTAGGGAATATTTATGTGATCATAAAAACTATAATGTGAAGCAATATTTTAAGTCACCGTTGATCCTCCCACGGTTTATTTATTTTTATTCAACCACAAATGCTAACATTTCATAGTAATTTTGTTGTACGTTTGTATCGCATAGCGCCATCTATTACGTTGTACAAATACTAATGTGAAAACACGTTGTTCCCATTCGCACCGCGACGTAGGTGCTAAACGAATACTTATAGTTTTCGTCAACACCGTAGTTCAAGCAAATGCATCTAGGTGGCGCTTTACTAAAAAATGTTTTTTGACCTTTCCTTGATTACACGTCCGTTATTTATAAGTAGATCATTTAGGTACGTACGAGTCAAGAGACGTCCGATGCGGTGCTAACACGGCAAGGCATAATGCGGCAACCACGGCGGCGTCCATAGCACGTCCACCTGCTTTCAATGCATCCGTGCCGGCTCGCGAACATTGGGCAGCGGACGATGATACAGAACCATGTGGTATCACCTGCAAAGCAAACAAATTGAAGAGTTATTTCTAAAATTTAAAAACCCCAAGACCCTTATTACACTGTTTAATACTCTAATTATAAGCACTCTTGAGTATGCCTGTGTCGTATGGTCACCTTTCTACGAGGTTCACTCTAAACGTTTGGAAGGCGTACAGAACAGAGCTCTCAAAATAGTAAGTTACAGATCACACATGGGTCGCAAATTGTCGCGTTACGAAGAGAGGTTATCCCATTTTGAGGTTATGTCCTTGAATTCTAGACGTAGGGTACAGGATCTTCTACATTTACATAAATTGCTTCACGGCAGCCCTAAATCGTCAACGCTTCTGTCCAATATTAATTTTAACATCAAGTGCAATCCACGACGCCTTCCTAGATCATTCGTATTGAATGTTTATACTAATAATACTTCTTTTTACAACCCTTTGACGAGAATGTGTCGTGCCTACAATGACCTTATGGCTAACCCTGGCGATGATTTAGGGATGGATATAATTGATGGTAATGTTAAAAGATTTCGCAATCGTATCCACAACCACCACGGTTTCTCTCTTTCATGGTTATAGTCATAGTAATTCTATTTTATTTAAGGTTACAGTTTTATTTGTGCCTAAGTATTTTATATTAATTTACAAACAATTTATATTTCAAACAAAATTGTTTACTCATGATTGGTCATGCTGTATGTACATGTTTAGGTTTACATTCAAGAGTAGAACTAGTAGTAATGTTTAAGCTTTGGTTAAGGAGTGAATGTAAACTGTTTTGTACATCTAATAAATAAATAAATAAAAATAAAATGTCTTCTTCCTAGTGTTTCTCCGCTTCTCTACGAAGGTTGGCGACCATCATGAGTTTCATTTTTTAAGTTAACCAGTCTCTCAGATTCTTCAACCACGAGGTTTCCCTTCTGCCACGATTACGCTTTCTTTAGATTTTCCCCTGCATTATTAGTTGACGAATCCGGTATCTATTGCCCCTTATTACGTGACCAAAATACTGTTGTTTTCTTTCCTTTACAGTTCCGAGTATTTCCAACTTTTTTCCCATTTGATGAAATGCCAGGCATGCCGTATGTACATACGGCATCTCAAAGGACTTCAGTTTTGAGCATAATATAATAGGGTCAAGGTCCAACACTCTATATTGAAGACAAAATTACTATAAGCCATGACTAATATAACTGTTGATTGTAATACCTATCAAAAGAAAAATCCATTTATAAGGAAAACTTTTGTAAAAAATTAATTACTTCTACATTGTCCAATATAACAACGCGTTCAGGATGTTGTTGGGGCTGCCGCGTCATTGTAGTGCATCTGGAATATTCGCGGAAACGCAGATTGATGGCTTCCATGCCATAATGCGCAAACGCATGGCATCATTGAGAAGACGCGTGCGCGGCAGCTCCAACAGCCTCCTGGCCACGGTGGCGGAGAGGCTGGACGGTCCTTTTTTGGAGGCGTGGGATGCCCTTCATAAACCTGTGTACGTTCTTATAAAATAATATATATTTATCTATAATTATTACTATTTGTTAAATATTCTTGTACTAACATAGTTGATAAGTGCCTGTGACTAACAAATGATATGGATTAATTTCTGAAGTAAATGATTTTTGATTTTGATTTGATTATGGGTGTGGACGGCACGAAAGGAGCCTTCCCGCGAAGAGGCGCACCCTGGGCAACAATCGGCGTGTACCTTATGCCGATTGGCAATTTTTTTTTACCACCATGGCAATCATTAAAACAATTCTATTGTCAGGACTACGTGTTATGATTTCTCACATGTTCTTCTAAGGGGAATTTGCCTTACTAAAATAGATAGTTTTGACGATTGCAAGTCTAATTTGCTTACCCATAATAATAATAATTATGAGTGACAAACGTTTGAACGGTACAATTGGAATACTTGATAAATTGAAACTACAATTTATTTATTTTACAACCAAATGTGAATTAATTGTTACGGCGTCATGTGCGCGCTATTAAAAGAATTTAATAAAAAGGCAAAGTACTACTATATGACACCATGGGGTTGTCATACAGAGGTGTTTCTTTTGAGTAAACAATATTGGTTTGATATACAGGCAGGCTTGCATGTGTTATATTTTTTCAACAAACAAGTTTCAACAACCAGAATCTTTTGTTATAGCTTCCATGTATTTTTCTGTTTTAACATTTTATAACAGTTTAATGTCATGCCGTTTTTTATAAGAGGTACAGTAGCTTGAAATAATTTATATTTTAGGTAGGTTTGTTCGCTCTAGAGAGAGAGAATTCTAACTTTGTGCTTAAAAACATATCTCACCTCATATTCTCCATAGTAAATTTGTGTCATCAAAGCTAAAGTGATGCCAACGGATAAAACAGCGAAGCAAGCTAAAATAAACCTAGGGCCCCCACCGCAACACTGTGACCCGGAATCGGCGCCCATAGAAGTCCCAGCTTTGAGAGGGACATCTTCGCGCAGTTCCACTACACCTGGAAACAAATAAAGTCATGTTTGTTCAAGTATATTTGTGACATGTGCTGAGAAGTAGAAGTTTTTAAAGTAAATAAATAACAAAATCTATTACGTCACGTATTTTTGACAACTTCAAAGCAAGTGGTTGTGAAAGGTTAGGGATGTTCGAGCTCGATTTTAATATTGATAATGATGAATTATCGTAATTTTTTAAATTGAAATTAATTTAATTAGACGAAATATTCAACAAAAATATCAGTGCCAATTTGCAATTTGAAAGTAACTCTCTACGTCCTTGAATTTCCACTGCACCCCTCGGTTACGCCCTGTATATAAAAAAAAGGAGGAAGTTCTCAATTCGAGTGCATTGGGGAACCGATTATGATGATTCTTTTTTTATTGGAAAGAAGGTACCCCAGGAGTTGTCCCAAAAAGAAAGAAAGAAAAATTCCACCTCTAAGGGTGACAAACTAGGGGATGAATGACTTTTGAGTTTGGTTTTGTTGGTATTATGATTTTATTGATATTATGATTTATATGAATTATGATGGTAACAATAGTGGATATTTTCATGAGTTTCGTAGCAGTAGAGCTCCTTGTGAAAGAGTTCGTCCAGGGTAGTACTGCCATCTTACCCATTTCGGCCGCCAAGCAGTAATGCTCGCATTACTGTGTTCCGAATTTAAAGGGTAAGGGTGCTGGTGAAATTACAGGCACATGAGAATTTTCAACTTATGTCTCAGGGTGACGGGCGCCCTGGCAGTGCCCTTTGAGCGGCACTGCAACTGTTATGGACAGGCGTGACGCTAACTGCCAGGCGCATGACTTGTTCGTCCCATCACGTATCATAAAAAAAAGGTTTCTGTTGGTGGTAGGGTTCTCTCTCTGCGCAGGTGTCGCCAAAATAGGACCACCTTAACTTTTTCTTCCGCGAAACAGTGCTGCGATGGCTGCGGTGTTCAGGGAGGAAGGGGAGGGAGTGAGACCTATGGTTGATAACACATTTGCAAAGGTTTTTTGTTGTAAATTTTAGACACACACTTGGTCACAACCTCACCTGATGTTAAAAACGTTTACACGCTCGTTCACTACCTACTACAACTTTAAGAGTGAACCACACAGAGAGCGGATGTGCGCGAGCGCGAGACGGGTGTACGCGCCCGCCGCGTGCGGTGTGTTGCCGTTCATATAAATACACGGAATTAGACCTACCGCGGACCCGACCCGAGCCTGACCCGCATCCGCTCTCTGTGTGTTTGACTATGAAAGGAGGTAGACAGATATATCTGTTCTTAAAGCTGTCATCTAACGCTGGCCAGTCAACCCGTGACCATGGAGCGTGTAACCGTTCCGAAATGTCGGGAAAATAAAAAAAATCATACCGTGGTAAGAAACCTGTAATTATTGATAAATCATTTAGGTGCAATATTGTTGGGAATATTGAAGTAAATATCTTACATTAAGTTGCCTAACGTTAGAGTTAATATATCAATTTGCGATGTGGCCACACTCTATCTCCTCCCGGTGTTCAGATGGAATAAACGTGCTGTTGCAATTGAGGAATTTATTTCGAATTTACTGAGGTCTCCAGCAATAATCCAGCAGAGCGAAGCTACATACAAACTGTGTTCAGAGTTTGTAGTGTGGTCTGTACTCTTTTAGCAACAGCTACTTTTTCAAAGGCAGCGACTGACGGCAAAAGGATATGGCATTAATTTGCAAAAAATGGCATTAACTTCAGTGAGACTTGCTGGGCATTCTGCAAGAGTTCTGGAAGGATTTTAAATTCTCGCCATTGTTTTTTTCAACGATGGACTATAGTAGTTCTACCAGATGAAATATGGTAACCATAGCCAACTGACATCATAATAGCGAGCCTAAATGTAGCAGCTATTAGACGTGCCAATGTCAAACCCTCTTCCGACATTCAGGTACACTTGGTGCACGCAAAGAAATGATGAAATATTGTAACATAGCATACAAACGCATGCATCAAACATGAAAAGGCCAGGGAAAGAATGATCAAAGTCACTTAAAAACACGTTTTGAGTCCCTTAAACACTGAGCGTATTTTGCTCAAATCAGAAAAAGGCTAATAAGGTTCAATGGCCTCAAAAATAGACTATTTAATTTAAAACGACTATTTTATAAGCCATTTTAAACTTTTCTACCATTTGGTAGAAAAGTTAACATGGATTATAAATGTTTTTAGTAGTAATGGATTACACATAGCGTTACATATATTTATGTCAGCATTGTCTTTATTTAAGGTGGAATAATTTGATGGTGTCTTTTTCACTAATAATTAAAAGTTCTAAAATAAAAAATATTTTTTTCCTGAAATTCTCCTCAAATGACTTTGATCAGAATGATCAAAGTCATTCCTTCCCTGTCATTAATTCCCTGGACTCTTCATATATATATAAATAATTTTTACAACCAAAATATAATCAGTCATCTACCAACCAACAATTCAACCATTGTTACTTTATGGCATGGTATATTGGTGATCTCGACTATCTTCAAATGCACCATGACACACTTAAGGAAGAAACCTAAATTTCCAAAAAATTCATCTACATTTGTACTTCCCACTGCTGGGCACGGTTCTTCTCTCAGGCGAGGTTTATGCTACCGCCACGCTGCCCAAAGCGGGTTGGGGACTTCATCACGAGGTTTTCCTTTACCGAAAAACTCATGGTGAATTTCAAAGTAAATTTCGCACATAAATTTCGAGAAACTCAGAGGTGTGAGCTTGAAGAGCGGTAGGTCAAGCCATTAAAGCGCGAAACACACAGAAAGCGGGTCGGGAGTGCGGGGGTCAAATTCCGTGTATGTATATGCCAGCTTAATGGGAGATGACTTCTTATTACGAGAATCATTATTCTTATAATAAAAAAACATGACATTACTTAATTAATGGTGTTGGTAAATAAGTTTAGTTCACACGAATGTATATTAGGTGTACAAAATATTTGAATTATAATTATTAATACAAAGATTGAACACTCAGAAAAAATTCCTTCGATCCGGCCGGATTCGAACCGACGCGACGTCTTCTTAGACGCTATACCAACTAAGTCACGGAACGAACCAGCGGACCTCACGAATTTTTCTATGTGCTTGCCTCGTATCTCTTTGTATTTGGTTTTCAACGACTTTTTAGCCATAGCGCCATCTATGAGATACCTATGATATTTCGTCACTCAGTTAGATACCTTTACAGCTACCTGCCCCGGCTAGAGATGTTGCTATTCATTGTAATTAAATTTTTATTGAATTGATATTCAATTATTTTTATGTGAAATTAATCCACTAATTTGTTACAATTATTAATACAAAGATCTTATACTTGTATTATACCTACTTATTTGGAAACTATTGTAGTCACTAGAGAGCTATATTATACTAGGTATCACTTTTGTCATTTACGTCGCAACTTCAGTAGTGAAGTGACAAAATTCACGACCTACCTCATAAGTATGCGGAATTTTCTATCTATTTGCAAAGTTTTATTAAAAACCGGTAACGGAAAGTGGGTGAAATCCAATAAACCGGATTAAATCCCTAAATTGCCACCCTTAGAGGTGGAATATTTTCTTCAAATTTGAATGGAATGTCGGAGTAATCGCGTAATATATACACAAAACAAATACAATCCAATTCTCAACCTACCTACCTAATGGCATTTTTCGTTTGACAAATTTCTTAAAACAATTTGATTATTTAAACCTGGGTTCATTCGTTAAGGTGGTTTTTCACCGGCGAGGCGAGACAAGACGAGAATTGAAATGTCGCAGGCCTATTGCCATTAATAGCTCGCGCGAGCCATCGCGAGCTCGCGCTGTGGTTGTGGTTAGTGAATCTTCAACGCTGTTCAGTTCATCTAGCGATAAATACGCTAATGGTGTATGTCTCGTAGATTATTATTAAATATGTTAACGGAAAAAGAATCAGGTGATGAAACTATCATTTATTTAAATCTCAAATCGTACGTACCCCACGACAACTTGCTGCATAAAACTTAAATAATTATTGAAATAACAAAAGACATAACACTCACGCACACGTATACTCACAATGTCGAGTCCCATGAACTTGTTTACTTGTATTATTTTCTCTTTTCCTTTTTTTAGACATTAATTATTATTATGCCAATAACTGTAATTATAATCTTATGTGCATTTGTTATTTTGGATATCGTTACGAGCTAATTTATAAGGATTAGATATAAGATGAAAGCCCTCGTAGCAATGACTCCCGCTCAATAACATAAGGGAGTAGGCAGAGGCTGAAAAACAGCGCTGCACGGTACCATCGTCGTTTCAGCATAAGTTGAGTCTAAGCCTTTTGTCTCAATTTACTTTTACTGTTTTGACTTCTTTGCTATGTATAAATTAAAAAAAAAAATGTTATTCTGAGACAATAAATGATTTATTTATTTTATTTTATTAATCTCGCGATGGATATTCATAGCCATCATGAGTTTGGCGCGAGAAATCGTGTTTCCGTTGCAAAATATAATACTCTGTGTAGGCAGTAATACTGTTCAATGTTACATCAACAAATATTTCAATTCTCGCCTCGCCCATCCTCGTCAATCCAGACCTTTTCCATTGAAGATGGGCTAGGAGAGTCTCTCGTCTCACGTCGTCTCGTCTCGTCTCGCCGGTGAAAAACCACCTTTATACCCCCGGTTTGTTTGAACCTGATTCAAATAAATTCTGTATCAATATTTTTTTGTCAGGTTCATTTGCATTAAGTACTGTTGACAACTAAAATGTTTAAAAACTTGTAAGTTTATGTTTGTTTAAAATAATACGTCCAAGTTCAGTCTGTAACTCATGCACATTCTCATACCGGTTCCTGTAAACTAAATCTTACAGGTTCATTTTCCTGAACCAAATTTCAAATTACATGTCAAATTTCATAGTCTTGCTTTTATTTAAGATGCTAAGAAGCAAATAATCCTTATGAGGCTTTCGATCAGTTTAGTAAATGGGTGGATGTTTGCTTT